CAGCCTGTCCAGGAAAAGGCCAGGGAAGTGGAGAGGGGGGAGAGAAACAATATCACGCTACCCCCTCATCCCAGCAGAGCGCGGTAGGATTTTGTAGCGGTACCTTGAGGCAGCGCCTGCGTCACCCCATGGAGTTAGGGTCAGTGCTTGCTGATGCTCAGGCTTAACGAAGAAACTATACTCCTTTGAAAACTGCTGCCAAAAGCCGTGTGTCCTGTCGGGGCTCTCTGCGGGGTGCTGAGCTGGGGAAGTGTAAGGGAGGGCAACGGGAGCCCGGCAGAAGCTGCAGCAAATTTGCAGCAAGCTCACCGCCGGCTGCCTTCTGCGAGGAAGTTGTAATTGTGCAAAGCAACACTCAAAGCCGATGGCGTATCTTGTTAATCTGAGGGCAGAGGTCGTTTACTAGGGAGCACCCAGAGTATATAAAGGCTGAGAATCCGAAAGGAACATACAACTCCCGGCACGAAGGCAGCTCGGCAGGTACGTACGGCTTGGCTTTGCTTGGCAGGAGCTGCGGTACCAAACTATGGAACTTGCTCGTGGCTGAAGCGGTGTTGCTGGGGAAGGGGAAGGGGTGGAAAGAGAGGTGAGGTTTTTCTACCTGGAAAACTACTTCAGAGGTAAATTAGAGTGAGCCGGGTGCTGCTGACGGGCATCGCGATGGAAGTGGGCAGTGCGGGAAAAGGACGGCAGCTTTTGCGTCGTACTGTTCATTTGTGCACGTGTACATGTGCCTGTACATAACAAAATGCTGCTTTAGGGCCTTGGTTATTGGTGAAATGTGGTCGCGTGCACCTCAGGATCCCTTTTGCTCCCGTTGGCTGATACAACACGGCTGCTGATGCCGTGGAGCTGTAGATTTGGGGGTACTGGGGGTGATGAGCCCCACCTTAGGAGATGAGGATGCGGCGGAGACTTCTTCAGGCCGGTGCCTGCTCCACACCGCAGCCTCCATCCACGCAGGGACGTGGGGGAGAGGAAGGGACTGTCGGTGCTCAGCCCTGCCTGCAAAGGGCACAGCGTGTCTGTGCGTGTGATTGATGCCAAAGGGTTAAACGATTTAGTTAAATGAACAGAAAAAGAGGCACAGTCTTTGGCCTGGCATCCCAAGGTTGGTGAACATCGCTTGGCTGCGTTTTCACCGTGCCCCTCCGGGCTCCTGCTTCTTCTTAAATCCTCCTGTGGCCAGGCTCCTCGCAGGGGTTGCCGTTTTGGGTCTACAGCGGTGCTGGGAACGACCCGGGCCCTCCTGCATGAGCAAGTAGGGAGAACCAGGCAGGGACAGAAGGCATCCGGCAAGGGTCGATGGGCACCGTGGTCCCCGCTGCACCCACGGGTGGTGGTGGGCTTGCCTGCGCTCGCTCCAAAAGTTTCTGCCAACAGCTGGGTGATTTTCCCTGGAGAAGGCACAGCAGCATTTTTACCACTCAACAGCCCTGTGCAGCAGTAAGAAAAACATCCTTATCTTTTAACCACGGGGACTGAGGCAACCCCGTCAGCTGTCAGTTTACCCTTCATGGCCACTGTCACCTAACCGGGGAAGATGCTGGTGTCTCCCATAAGACCAGCCCGGCCACGCTTCCGCGGCCTGCAGAAAGCTGCAAAGTCATGAACAAATCACCTGGAGACTTTTTACAAGCTTTCTTCCGTCTTACGGCACAATTCAACATTCCTTTTCCTCTCCGTCTGCTACCAGGGGACGAGGGTTGGCCGTACGGCAGCAGACCGTGTCTGACGGCAGAGGTGTGTCGAGACCGGTCTGTAAATGATGGCCGAGCTGCAGGAGGTGCCGGCAGAGCCACCGACCCCTTTGCCGCCTGTTAACAACCGTCAATACAAACGCAATGCCACAGCCTGGATCTCTCTGGTGTCGGCTGCGTGCTCAATGGTGTCATCTGAGTGCTGGCATAGGAATATATTGATTCCACCGTATTCCTTGTGCTTAATATTTAAGTCCTATGTAAACGTGTAGTTCTGGTGTGAAAACAATCCCATTCTTTTTATAGTGTTTTAATAGCATTTACAGGGATTAGTGCCGTCGTCCCTCGCTTCAAAATGTAAATGCTTCCCCTGTTTTTTTTTTTTGCTCCTCCCAGCATCTCGAAACTCAGGTGCCGCCTCGTCACACAAGGGCAGGGAGCGTCAAGGCAGGGGTACTCGGTGGGGACCCCGCTCCCGGCCGTCACCCAGACAGGACAAAGGGGTCAAAGCTGGGTGGGGGCAGGCAGGACACGAACTGCCCGAAGGTGCTCTGTTAAACACCCTTTGTGCCCACCGGGGAAATGCCTGTGGGCTGTGCGGGGACGCGGTGGCTGGAGGGGACCTCCCTGGGGAGCTGCCCTGGGACGCAGGGGTACTCGGTGGGGACCCCGCTCCCGGCCGTCACCCAGACAGGACAAAGGGGTCAAAGCTGGGTGGGGGCAGGCAGGACACGAACTGCCCGAAGGTGCTCTGTTAAACACCCTTTGTGCCCACCGGGGAAATGCCTGTGGGCTGTGCGGGGACGCGGTGGCTGGAGGGGACCTCCCTGGGGAGCTGCCCTGGGACCCCTCCTGGGCTCGCAGTTTTGGGGTCCAAAGCTCAGGCTGCCTTCCCACTGGTGATTTTTTTTTTTTGCTGAGGATGTGTGGGTGTGTGCTGGGAGCAGGAGAGAGCCCTTATAGCTGTAAAAGCATGGGAGCCTTCGCATCTCATCCCCGTGCTGCTTAACAGAGCCGTGCCGAGCTTGGGCAAGGGGCAGGGACTGTGTCTGTGTGGGGCTTCCTACGGGAGCATCCTCTATTTTATTTTATTTATTTTTTTAATTAAAGCTCCAAAGCTGAAGTGAGAATGGCAGAGGGTGGTGTCATGTCTTGCAGGGGGCAGTGGGGAGGGAAGGGGCCAAAGGTGGAGGTGGAGGTGGAGATGGAGGAGGAGGTGGAGGTGGAGGAGGAGATGGAGGTGGAGGTGGAGATGGAGGTGGAGGTGGAGGCGGAGGGGGAGGTG